TTCGGGAAGGGCAAGGAGGCACCTAGATTCAGCCCCAAGGCCTAAACTCAGGCAATCCAAGAGCAGACGCCCTTCTCACTTCCAACTCTAATCTTCTGCGCACCTCCAAACAAGTCATGTCCCTTTTCTGGGCCTCTATTTCCCCATGTGTAGAGGAAAGGTGGACGAGCTGGTTCTAAACCATTTTGCATCTCTGACATTCTCTGATCCTGGAATCTGCTCCCATCTTGCTGTAAAAGCTACTGTCCCACAAATAATCAGCTGATTTGCATGTCATGTTTCTGGTTCTATGTTCTATTGAAATACATGTGCATTTCCAGCCCCCAACCCACTCCTAGTCCTCACCAATAATACATCAGACCCAGCCTAGGAAAACAAACCGTGGGGCTTGTTTGGAGAAGCCAGAGGCTCCCACCCTTCCAGATCTTTCTCCTTGCTTTTCTTCTCCCAAGCACATGAGACTCCAAAATGAGAGACTTGCTTCGATTTTAGCCAAGCAACCTGGCAGCCCAGTTCAGCCCACCTGCAAGGTGGCAGGGACTGGAAGATGCTGGAAGCCAGAGCGCTCTGGCTGGCTATGCAGCAGAAGGGGAAGGAAGGAGCAGGGGGCAGGTGATGGGGATTTCTGGGCAGTTTGAAATACAGTCACTACCATGCAAATGAAATCAGCCCAGCATGCAAATAGACAGAATCAAGTTGAGACAGTCAGGATGAGGGAGCCAACAGCCTGCCCCCGGAGCCCCATAAGGGATAAGGGCTTCCTCCAGAGGGAATGAGACTCTGCTGAGAGACTACAGCCAGGGCAGGGGGCCCTGTGAACCCAAGCCAGCAGGGTGGAGATTAGGGCAGGACGCCCTGCTGTCAGGTTAGAGCTGACAGATCGCCGCTGGTGGTGGAGCACAAAGGCCATTCTGTGCTTGGCACCAATGTGTTCCCATCCATCAGAGGGCAGCATGCGGGGGCGGAGGATGTGCGGGGGAGAAAAACCAAGCCTCTAGAGTGGCTGGGGGGGCGCCTCCTCCCACAAGACACCGGGGGGGAG